AAAGATATCACCGTTAAAAGTGATAAACTTTCAGAATTCCATTGCCTTTTCCTTTGGATTTTCCTAAAGAGGGAGAAATGAAACAACACCTGCTCTGGTTTGGATTTTTATCTCAAAAGAAACCCATTTACTGTCAAGAAGGAGCTCATCCATTGAAAGAATCTGTATCATCAAATCTGAGGACACTCTTTTAAAATGCTATCCTCCTTAGAACAATAGGATTTGAATGGGGTTGCCTCTGAGTTTTTATATATTACTGCAAATCGACCACATAGTTGAAGAAAGTGAAGTTCATGGAAACTTGCCAATGTTGTCCTAATTGCCTTATAATGTGGACATCCCAGGCCTATAGTATCTTAAACGAGTATTGTATGTTTGTATAATCATTGACATAGAAACTACCCTGGTATTTAAGATCAGAATTGTCTAGGGTTTTTTCTCTATTAAAACCTCAACACTGCTCCATGTTCTATAGCAGTTGTTCAATACGTATTTACTGAAAGAATGAAGTGCGCGTTTTAAAAGTTATGTTTAAGGACGCCCGGGTGGTAGTCTGTGAAGCATCTGACTCCTGGTTTCAGCTCGGGTCCTGATCTTAGTTAGGGTCACAGGATCCAGCCCTAGGTGGGGCTCTGGCCTTAGAGGGAGTCTGCTTTAGATGCTCTCTCTCCCTCTCTTTCTGCCCCTCCTCTCCTCCTCTGCTCTCTCAAATAAATCTTTTTTAAAAAATTGATGTTCTATTTTACCTCTTTTATTATCCTATAATTTAATCACTATTATGTTGTGGATTTTGCCTGTGATGTAAAGCAAATGTGAGAGGGAAAACCGTAGTGAGTAATATTAACAAAAACTAACAGTCACCTTCCTCTGGAAAGAAACCTACCAGGAACCAGCAAAAGAGCACAGCCTCAGAGAGGATAGGGCAACAGAGCTGATCCAATGCAGAAACTGAGTCTGGTCATCTCCATGAAGCAATGCCCCTTCACCAACGGTGGGAAGCCCTCCAAGACTGATGCTGGCCAAGCAGCCAGCACCTTTTACATCCTCAAGCTCAGTCACAGGCATCCAAGAAACATCAGTAAAAAATACGATGAGCCCAAATTCTCCAAGTATAAAGTACTTTTTTGACACAATTAGAATGCCAGCGACTACAACTTTTTCTGTACCTCCTATCAGCTTTCATACTTCACCTGACACATCACCAGCCATTAAATCTGTACCAGGCACACTATGTCCCACAGACCCTGGTGCTCTCCTTACCACACGTTCATCCAATACACCAGGATGCTGTTTGTTGAAATGCTGTGTGTGCTATCAGGAATTGTGCCTATTTCTTGCTGATGCCAGCTCCACACAACAAAACCAAGGAGGGAGGGACAGGGACAGAAAAGAAAAACAGGGCGGGAAAGAGACTTTGGTCAACCATAAAGTGATGTTCAGAGTACGCCTTCCTTCTGAAAGAAGAGTTATAATCAATATTGGCACAGGCTAAGAAAAGCCCTCTTTTCATTAGTCATAAATAAAAATCTCACAAAGCTGTCAATTTACCCCGTACATATGCATACTCTAGAAGCCAGAGGCAATAGCCAGGTGGAGCTTGCAGAATGTTTTGCAACACCCCACAAAATGGTTAGAAGAAGCCTGCATGAATGTTTTTAAAAAATACATTTCTCCAAGCTGGGCCACGAACACTCGAACACCCTCAATAATGCTTGTCCTTCCCCTGTGTGAGGAGGGCAGGACCAATTATTCAGCTTTGGATGTCCTCGTTACACTTTTTCTTTTAACTCTTTAGTTCCCAGCATCAGATGTTCCTGGTTAAGTCCACTGATAACAATGAGAATCGTGACCAAAAACACTTATGTCAGTAGAAGGATCTTTAGAAGAGACGGGGGAAAAAAAGAGCCAGTTGTAACTGCAGCTTGCCACAGGCTCCTGAGATCTTTGGTATGCCTACAATTTTTTTCAATTAGGTTTTAAAAATGTTTTCCAAGATGTAAGATGGAATGTCATTTGGTGGATAATAACAACTCTTCAGAATTTTCTTTTACCATTAACCAAAGTAACAAAGAGACCTCACTTTGGTGTTTCATTTGCCTCCCTGGTAGCCGTCATAATACTCATCCAACTTTAGAGCCAAATGTCTCTCAACCTGATGACTAAGCCAGCATAGAAGCAAGAGGGAGAATACACATTAAGAATATTCATTTTCACTTTCTTTCCAAGGAAAATGATACAAGAGGTTATTTCTTATTTCCACATGTTCCTCTCTGATGAAGAAAATGTTACATCAAAAAATTCTTCTGGATGATGGAGGTTAACTAAAGTTACTGTGGTGATGTAAGTAAAATCATTATGCTGTACACCTTCAGCTTATACAGTGACACATACCCATTGGGTCTTAGTAAAACTGGGCGGGGAGGGAATTCTCCTAAATACCTAAAGGAAAGCAGTCAGCAAAGCACACTGTAAGTAAAAGAAATCACACTCCCGGTCACTGTTCACACTTCGGTAACCACACCTATTGTGGTCAGGGCCACTCTGCAAACCTGAATCCTGAAATTTGGGGCCATATACTGAAGGAGGTAGGCACTGTCTATCCTTGTAATCCCTCCCCATTCCACTTTTAACAACAGAATATCAATTCTAAAATGCTAAACATCTATGGACACACAGGGCATTATGTGGCGTGTATAACACACATACACACGCACACCTGCATGGGGCTGGGTGGCTAACACACCTTTCTGAATCCATCTGGCATAGCTCCCCACCCCCACAGTTTCACTGCTCTTTCGTGCAGTGGATCCACCACAAGCAGTGGATCTAAATAAAGCACACTTCAAGGTCAAATGATGCAGCAAACAGAATTTGACCTCAAACAATATGCCTCTGTCCATTCACCCATCCATGTAAATATGTGCACACGCTGTGTTTTGCTTGCTGCAAGTTCATGAATCTTTATCCCATATTACTCGTTTCTTCATCTAATGCACATCTGGATATGTTTGTCCTCCCCCTCCACCCTCCACATCCCCCCATCCCCTCAACACACACGCAACAGCTGTAAGAGCAAGGAGAGCATGTTTTTAAAATTCCATTGGTTCATGTAGGCACATAATCTGAAGCAGCTCCAAAATGGACATCAAGTAAAAAATACCAGTTTTCAAAAGTCTGTAATTATGTATTTACACAAATTACATAATCCTGTATGTATTTACATACAATTACAGATTATCAAGTAAATAACACAATGTTGTAGTGTTAATGAGATGAAATAGAAGGAAAACACCATAAACTAAAGCCATTCATTTATCTACAGAACAGGACCTGGCAGGGACAGGTTCCCCAACACTGACCTGGCATGTCCTTCACACTGCCTGGGGACATTCACATGACAGATGGGAGGGTGGTTCAGTCCGTGCCCATTAAGTCTCTGACCAAGGTGCAAGTACTGGCACCAGTAAGATGATGGTTTGGCTATCTGAACATCTGTTTGTGAAACCTGGAACCACCCATCCCACAGTGGCTCGGAGCTGCCATCCAATGGGCTTTGGGTCTCTTATGACAAGAACCGGCTGCAAACCCACTTGCTCTAATGCCCAACAGGACAATGCCCACGCCAAAACCCTGAGCCATCTACTCTCCCAGAACACTTATTTACATAAATTGCATAAGTCAATATTTATTTATTTACAGACCATTACAGTTTATTGTATCCATTGCCAAAAGCATATAACATTTTGTTTCTCTTTAAAAAAGAAGAAAAAGGTACCAAAACAAAATAACTCCAAAAGTAGATGTTAAAGTAGCATTTTCTGGGAATGCATGGAGATTTTAATCTTTTTCACAAGTTGGTTGCTTTCTTTTAGGCCGATCATCTAGCATCTCATGCTACTTCAAGATTACTTTTGGCTACCTCCTAAAACCAATTTCTTCAGTGCTAAATAGTGTACCTATGACATCCTAGAAACTTGATTCTTCCCTGTGGTCAGATGTTTAATGTTTTCAGCCAAAAATATTAAATGCCTTTCGGAAAAACTGAAGCCTGAATATGTGCACATTTTAGCAGCAGCAAAGGGTTAAGTAATAAATAAGAATACTACATCTCAGAATTAAATGCAGTTTCTGTTTAGAAAGTTAAAAAAAAACAAGAAAATAAATGAAGAGGACATTCTGAGTTTATCATAAATCAACTATTTTACATTGCTTCTGTCCCCTCCCCCCAAATATTTCTTAATTCCAAATGTTAGACTTAGTTTTTCCTTAATGCACATCAGCAGGAGGGCTCTGCTACATACTCCGACTTGGCCTATAGAAGGGCCACATGTGCTCATGGCAATAAGTCATGCACTTCTACTTCAAAACAGCTTTAACTCAACAGTGACATACTTTTATTTTTCATAAAGAATGTGCATCAGAGCAAAACAACGTTGGAATATTAAATTTTAAAATTAGTTACATAAATCCCAACACATTTTTTAACTGTCACTTTCAATTTCCCAACATAACTGGCTAGAAAGTGTTATATGTGGTATGAGAATTTGTTATAAATTCCTTTTTCCTAAATATTGCTTTAAGAATTTGGCTCTTTTCTCCTTAGTATATAGTAAGAAATAGTCTTCCTTGCCCAAGGGCAAGTTCCAAAATTATTGCTACTAAAGAAATATGTTTTCTTATGCTTTTCAGCATAAAATGTTATAAAAGCCTTGTAAAAGATATTCTATATAGTAACCTCCCCTCTAAAAAAAATTGAGCGCTTGTGAAGACCATTTTTAAAAACAAAACACAGTCAGCAAGGATAATACTTTCCCCCTCATTGTCATTATTGATGAAGATTTGTTATGTTGCACGTTTTCCTTGAAGGGTGTTATTCCCATGTATTACGACGGTTCACACCAAAAGCAATTTCTATAAAAGATGTTACAATGACCCCTATGGTACTTGTATAACGTCATATTTGATAGCCAAGTACACAAATAAAAAGTCTCCAAGAATGATCCTGTTTAATCTGACTCCTGTCCCTTAAAAAAAATTTTTTTAAAAAATCTGTGCTATATAAGCTCTTTTTTTTTTTTTTTTTTTCGTTTTGAGGATTCTAAATCAGTACAGTGTTTGATGTTAGTCCTGTTGTCCTGGAGATCGACTAAAATAAAAGCATAGTTATTGTTTAGCTTTGGTATATTCTGCAAGAGATTCAAACACGTAGGCTAGATACCAACCCTTGTATTTTCCAACCGTGAAGTTACAGTGATGGAATAAGTCACTTATGAGAGAGGAAATATTACAGACACAGAATAAAAGTTTGAGACCCAGTTTCTCTTTAATCCTCTGGGATAAGCTATGAAACAAGCAGTCTGAAGAGTGAATACTCAGTGTCATGAATGATGTGCATAAGTTTACAATAATACGGGCACAAAAGAGATTGTCGCCTTTAGTACATTAGGGTCATTAGGATTTCTCCTATCCATGCACCGTTATATTTACTTGCATGAATTTACCACAGGTTCGTAGCGGACTTTGCCATTTAATGCTTACAGAGCCTAAAGCTTCCAAAATGCCTATCTGGCCTGTACATATTTCATTAAAAATAAACTCTATATAATAAATAAATATATAAAATAAATAAAATGTTGCCTTTGGAATTTCTATAAATAAATTTAACTTTTTTTTTTATTACTAAGAGGTCTTTGCTTTAAATTCACTGGGATGGCACCAGTGAGCCTTAAACTGAAAAAGTCTTGTAAGTAAGACTGCACCCTCCATGCCTTTGCAAATGCAGCGTACCCTCGCGCAGGCCACCAGCCAGAATCCTGATGAGTCGAAGTATGGCAGCTGTGCTGATACAAGGTGAAGGACAATTGATCAAAAATGTAAAAGCGCGTCTAAATCCCAGCATGCATCAGGCCGTTGTCCTCTCTGCTTCTGCTTCTCTTCAACCTCCCCTGCTACCCATCCACACACACACTCACACTCCCGCTCAGCCTCCCTCTCCTCGGCTCACAATAGACGGAGCGAGTGGGCGACGGCGGCCCTCCAGGAGGACAAGCCTGTAAGTGCACAACAAAATCAGCATGTTCCCCTTCAAGCCTCCATCGTACAGAATGCATGCGGCAAAGTTTGGCAACAGTGGAGCTGGTGTGATGACACAGCTAATCAATAAGAACCCACCGCGTGAAACCTTTATAGTGGTTACTCTGTTAAGGGCTCAAGTGGAGAAATGGTCTTTGTCAACTTTGGCTTAGAATATCCTTATATAGTTCGGGTACTTTGTCGGGGTCCACTGGTCTAGGTAAAAAATGGGTGAATTTCTGGTGCCGTTTAGTCCTCGTTCCTTCTCTTGGGGTCCCGTCTTTATTTAATGCAACATAGTATCGCCTTCCAGTGTCCACGTGTTTATATAGATTCGAAGAGTACGTGTTATACCAGTTTTCTTCAAACTGTTCTCTGAATACACACTCTTGGGTTAGTTTTTCCTGTTAAAACAAACAAACAAGCAAACAAATAAATATTTTGCAAAAGAGCTATTTTCTGTATTTGAAGCAACATTTAATGGCTACACAATATAACTCTGATGAGAAAACACTGATTTTAACCCAGTTTAACCATTGGGATGTATTTCCCAAAAATGTGCCTGGCTATATAAATTTAACTACGTTTAATTGTTTTTCATAATGGCTGAAGTGCAAAAGACTCCAAATGTTTTCTGGTTAGATTTCTTTTCATACGTCAATTATTTGAAAGAGACAAAGAGACAAAGGATGATCAATGCTTAGAGTTGTTCCCATTTTTACTACAGCAATTGGATTGGTGACCATCCTGCAAGGGAGAGCCTTAGCTGAAGCCAAAGGTTCAGATACCTGCCTCATCTTTAATACATGTTTTACAAAGTACTTGCCCAACATTCTCAACAATCACACTGTTGTCAGAATCCCCTGCCCTCTGAAGCAGTAGAGTTTACTTACTACCCTAAGAGTGCTTTTCAAACTTCAGGGTTACAGAACAATCACCTGCATTGCTTCTTTAAAATGCAAATGCTCAATCTCCAATCCTTTAAAATTCGGATCCAGAAAGTCTGGAAATATGCATTTTTAACAGGCACTGGGGGGAATTCTGATACAGTTAATTCCCGGGTTCACATTCAAGATAGAATGCTTTCTATGTGACTGAGTCTTCCTGGATACAAAGAAGTAAAAACGATTGTTGCAACCCTCCTACTCCCTTGAATTTAGACAGAAAGAGCCCCCCAACTTAAAAAAGCCACATTCTCAGGCACACATCTACCAACAGAAAAGCTGTACTTTTTCCCACATTCCCAAAGTTAAAAGGTTCCCCATTTTCACAGATGAAGTGCACCTCTCCCTCCATCTGAGCCTTATGAAACTCTGGGTCCCACTTATCCCCACAACCCAGAGCTCCTGCAGCCAGGTGTCTCGTGGGCAGTCATAATGACCAGAAACATCTTCCTCACATCCCAAAACCCAGTCACAAAAGTTGTCCCCTGGAGAAACGAGCCAACAGGATTGAATGGCCTCTTTGCCCCTCTCACCACCAGACTGCAACTTTTCAAATCAATACTTTCCATGATGGCACTTTTTAAAAATTAACACAAAATGACCTTTTAAAAGTATTCCTCTTGCTCTCGCCCATCTGGCACCTTACATGAATAAGAAAACAAACCAAAAAACCACACACATCCGTGTGCAGACTTAAAAGAGCAGCACAGATCCTCATCTTTGATATTCTTCCCTTTCTGACATTCAGACCCAGAGGACAGCAAACTAGACATCACCAAAATATAGATGTCCTTCTTACATGCACACACATGCACGATTTAGTGCACTGAGTTCACAGACGGCAGCTGCACAGGATCCATCAGATCCTTACAACGGAGGAAGTCAGGAGAGCAAATGAAGGGGAAAGGGAGAGAATCTGATGAAATCAACAGTCCCATGGAAGGCCGGCTTCCCTACTTCTTTGAGAAACTGAGGGCTTAAGAGCCACTCCAAAGCACATAGGGCCTGCAATCCCCCACTCCACCGATTGATTATTACTCCTCAAGGCCCTGAAAAGGTCTGTGACATAATCTTATCTCCTTGGGCAAGTTCTTCTTAAATCAAATGGGGCCAAGAGAAAATGAAAAAACAATGCATCTGTCAAGGACAGAAATGCTGGGGAAATTTTGGAGCGTGGATGCTGGGTTTGTAGGGACAAAATGAATTGCGGGGAGTGAGAAGTCATCTATGGGCCACCCCCCCGCCCAAGCTGGGGGCCAGGAGGAGGAGGGGGCGAGCAGCTCAGAGGCAGTGGCACCTCACTGTACACACAGAAACCTAGGGGCGCATTCTTCTTCTCCCCTCCCCTGAGCTAGGGGATGAGGCTGCATGTGACTTCTCTTTCATCTCTATTAAGACTGACGAAATAAAAATAGTGTGTTAAAGACATTACCAGCTATTTTAGTCTTTACTTCCATCTGTGTAATAAATATTCTCCTCACAGACAAGATTATTCCTGGCTAAAAATGTCTGGTTTGGGTTTGCGGTGATTAAGTAAATTTTCTAAACAAATTATGGTTTTGTTTTTGTATTTTTTTTTTTTACTTAATAAAATGGACCAGATTATGGAACTGGATACTGAACCTTTAGTTCCTCAAAAAACATGAAGAACTAATTCAAATTAAGCTTTCTTTTTCTCAGCAGGAAATCATATCACTGATAGACATTTTACTTAAAAACAATAGCACACTTTCTCCTTTTGGAATCATGAGTTAGGTACTGGTTCATGTTTGCTTTGTTGACCTGTCACATCTACAGTACAGTAGCCTTTGTTGGATTAGAGACACACATGTCACCTCAGCAGAAGACAGGTAGTTGGCTGGTGAAGAGACCACCGTGGTGCCCAAGGGCCATGCAGATGCCAACTCCTCCCTTCACCAGCTGGGGACATTTACGACATCTGTCCTTAACCTCTACAAGCCTCAGAAACTTCGTCATTAAGGCAGGTTAGTATCTTGGGACAGGGCTGTTACAAGTACAGAGTCAGAAGACACACCCGGCACAGAGGAAGGCCTCCATAAACCACGGTGGTTGTTGACATTTTGTTAACACCATAACCTCTCGCAACTGGGACCAACTTTGGAAAACTGCTAATACAACTTCGCCCATTAAATACAGCGGACAGGGAGGCTGGATGTGAAATGGCTCGTCCCGGGTCGATGCCACAGGACCTCGTTATGATGGGAACGAAGCCACCAGAGCAAGAAGTTTCCAGGAGCCCTCCCTGCTGGATGCACCGCACTCTGGAGACAGTCCCCTTTTGGGTTTTTTTCTACTTTTCACTAAGCACCATGGTTCCTCCTGACCCCCTCCTCGGGGAGCCTTCTGATGCTGTTTTCCAAAGGGCCAGGCACCAGGAGGGCCACGCAGGGAAACGGCGAGGGCTCATGGACCAGGCTCAGGAATCACACGCAGCAGCTGTTGGTCTAAGATTCATATATGCTTCCTCTCTTCTTTACCTTTACAAAATGTATAATTTTCAGAAAACCCTATTCGCTTTGGGGGAAGAATGAGTAGAGATTAAATGAAAACAGAGATTATGAACAAAATTCTACAGTGGTAGGGAAGTCACAATCTAGCAAGGGAACACATTTGTTTTTAGTATTTTTGAAAAGATTCTCATTTTATATGTTTTGAGGGTGTTTTTTTAGCTCATAAAAAAATCTTTTTTTAAAAAAGTTGTAAGCTAAGAAACTGAACTAGCCTTTTCACTGCTCAGAAAACACTGCTCTAGTTCCCCTAGCAGGCTATGATAGCATTTTTTATATACACATAATGGAACTTTGTAGGCAACCCAGAAAATAAAGTGAATTATTCCACTTAAAACAGTATCATTTCTAGCCAGCACTTTTTGCGATTCTTAACAGAGTTCAGTTGCCTCCTACACTAAAGAGTTGTCTGACTTAACAAGTTAAATGAGACTGTGCAGATATGCCATTGCAAAAGCACAGGTACTTTTCAACTCCTGTAATCATTATACAATTAGTATGATGCCACTCAGATAAACTGACATATCTTAAAAAATTAAAACGATCATTAAGAATTAAAGACCCTGTTACTTTTTTATGCCATGTAAATGCTTTTAAATAATTTCTTCCTGGGGATCCCTGGGTGGTGTAGCGGTTTAGCGCCTGCCTTTGGCCCAGGGCGCGATCCTGGAGACCCGGGATCGAATCCCACATCAGGCTCCCGGGTGCATGGAGCCTGCTTCTCCCTCTGCCTATGTCTCTGCCTCTCTCTCTGTGTGTGACTGTCATAAATAAATAAAAAATTAAAAAAAAATTTTTTTTAAAATTAAAAAAAAATAATTTCTTCCTCTCATGTGTGATTATATTAACACATGATTTCTGTTTTGGATAGACAGATAAAATAGCAAGATTTATAGAATTACTCTCTTTATGATCATACTCTAGAACTCAGTGACAAAATATTCAGTTGAGGTGACTATACTTATGTATTTGTACTCCACAGTGCTTTTTCTAAATTAAAAATAAGCAAATGAGTGTAAATTGGGACAGCAAAAACATATCAACCTGTATTCTTCTATATGTGCAGAGGAGGAAAAACGTTTCTGCCTTCAAATCAACTATACACTTTAGAATTATAGAACTCAGATGTTTTAAAACTCACCACATGTTTCCAATGCAGACAGTTTATAGAGTATTCCACTATAAAGTGATCAATTCTTGTTTTATTGTATTTCCATGTTTTAATTTTTTTTTAGATTATTTAACTATAGCTGTTTATGGCATACCTATCTTTGAACTGTTGGATTATATCACTAGGCTTGGGTGGAGAATGTGGATTTAATTCAAAAGTCTACTAAAGTCCATGTTTTGGAACAAAATCTGGTGAATGTTAGCAACTATGGAAACCTCTTTTCATTTTATATCATCAAATTCTAAGCAGTGGGAAAAACTGAAATTAAAACTTCAAAACTTTTACGAATCCTATTAAATCCAAAGAATGAGATAATAATATGAAAATTACAGCACACCCTAGAGAATGTTTAGGAATGTTATAAGATAGACATCACTTTAAGATATTAGACAATTGGAAAATGTGTAGTCCACATGGGCATTATTATGCCCAATTCATATCTATACCCACTTAAAAAATGAAATCAGAATTTTTCAGAATTTGAGGCTCAATAGTTCTCATGGAAACCATACAGGCTTACGTCATATGTATACATAAATATATATATATAAATTTTTGTAGATATATATGGTGTAGCTTTAACCACAGTATCCAAAATGGTTGCATTTACTGAACTCAATGGTTCACTTAAACTAGTTGCATAAACTAGCCCAACCCGTAAATCCGAGGTCAGTGACTCTACAGAAACTAACTTGATCATAGAGTTCTCAAACATTTTGTAAGTTAATGATTTGATGTAATCGCTTGTTCTCATATCTCCC